TTCTCGGCGCAACAAATGCCGCAGCCTACGGTCCGTACCCCGCCCCGTCTCCTCCTTTTCCCCAGGCCTCGGAGCTTCCGGTTGGAGACACCTCTTTTTCATTTCAGGCGCCTTGCTTGCTGCGTTGACAGCAAACGGAAATCGGACACCATTCATTGGCCTCATCACTTGTCTCTGCTCTCAATTGCAATCCTGCTGTCTTTGATGGGCGTTTGGTACTAGTTCCAGCCCTCAATGGCACCTGTCGGCGCCCTACTCTGGCGCTCCTTGAGAGCATACCAGATTTACGGCGCCAATACCGATGTCGGCAAGACTGTCTTCTCCTCGGTTCTGTGCAATGCGGCTCGCAAGCACTGGCCGCATGAGCAGACGGCGTTTCTCAAACCCGTCTCTACGGGCCCGGCTTCTGAAGCCGACGATGGGTGTATGTCCGGACCCTCATTTCCTCAACGAACGACTCCATTTTTATCGCGGCTTCTCACCATTTACACACTGACCATCTCAACTAACCTCGGAAATAGAAGGGCAATATCCTCGGTTCTCAATCGGGATTCGTGGTTCACTTATTGACATGCTCTTAGTCACATCGACAAGTTCGCCCCCGGAGTCGCGAACAAGACGCTGTTTCAGTTTGAGATTCCAGCAAGCCCGCATCTGGCCGCCGAGGTTTCGGAACAGGTGAGTTTGCTGCTACTTTTAGAAATGCAACGTCAGGTTTTGGACAGCCCACTGAAACATTCGCCTTAGCCCACCCCGACCGATAATGAAGTCGTGAAAGGTATTTACAGCTACGCATCGCGCCGAGCGGCCGGTGGCCCCGGCTGGCTTTTCGTTGAGACGGCCGGCGGCGTGCACTCGCCGGGCCCGTCCGGAACCCCGCAAGCCGACCTTTACGCCCCGCTCCGGGTCCCGGTCATTTTCATCGGCGATTCCAAGCTCGGCGGTATCTCCCAGACCATCTCTGCCTTCGAGTCCCTCAAGCTTCGTGGCTACGACGTCGAATCCATCTTACTCTTCCGCGATGAGCAGTACCAAAACTACTCGTACTTGACCGACTACTTCGCCAAAGGACATGGCATCCCCGTCAACTCTCTCGAGCAGCCACCGGCGCGCGCTGAGGATGTACGAGCTGATGCCAAAGCGTTGTCTCAATACTACGATGAAATGAGTTCCTCTAAAGTCATCAAGCACACCTTGGACCACCTGCACGACCGTCATCTCTCCCGGATTTCTCGCCTCGAGACCATGTCCCGCGACGCACACAACATCATCTGGTATCCCTTCACACAGCACAAGAACCTCACACCCGAAAAGATCACAGTTATTGACTCTGCCCATGGCGACTGCTTCCAAACTCTGGTTCCCGAGAGCAAGGGCTCATCGACAAACCAGGCCCTTTTGCAGCCTTCATTCGACGGGTCTTCATCATGGTGGACACAAGGACTGGGCCACGCGAACCCCAAGTTGACTCTCGCCGCATCCTACGCCGCTGGCCGCTACGGACATGTCATGTTTGCCTCCGCAGTTCACGAGCCTGCGCTGGCTCTTGCTGAGACTCTCCTCAAGGGCTTGGAGAACCCGAGGCTCTCTCGCGTCTTCTACTCTGACAATGGCAGCACTGGTATGGAAGTCGCCGTCAAGATGGGTCTGCGCGCAGCCAGGGTCCGATACGGCTGGGAAGCCAGCGACAAACTCGAGATTCTCGGCTTGAAGGGCAGCTACCACGGCGATACCATGGGCGCGATGGACTCTACGGAACCCTCTGTCTTCAATGAGAAGGTCGAATGGTACGAGGGCAAGGGCTTTTGGTTTGACTACCCCTACGTCTTATGCAAGAATGGCGAGTGGCAAGTCCAAATACCCAAAGCCTTGCAAGCCGATTTGGGCACCGGACAGACGTTCAGCACTTTGTCCGAGGTCTTCAATGTGACTGGCAGGGAACAGGCTCAGCAGCAAGAGGCATACGAGAAGTACATCGTCAAGGTTCTCACTCGCCTTCGTGATCAGGGCCGCAAATTCGGCGCTCTCGTCATGGAACCAGTCATTCTTGGAGCCGGAGGCATGATCATGGCGTAAGTATCCCCACATACCCGTGTCGAACCTCTTGCTAACCCGTCGTCTTCTCAAGTGATCCTCTGTTCCAGCGCACTCTCGTCAAGGTTACCCGACAACATCCTGAGCTATTCGGCACGTCAACCACTGCCGTCAATGAAGATGGAGTCACCTGGACTGGCCTGCCGGTCGTCTTTGACGAAGTTTTCACTGGCCTCACCCGTCTCGGCCGCTTCTCCGCTGCATCTTTCCTCGGTGTCGACCCAGATGTCATCTGTAACGCGAAGCTGCTCACGGGAGGCTTGGTGCCGCTTTGCACCACCTCGGCATCTGACAGCATCTTCCGGGCCTTCGAGAGCGATGAGAAGAGTGACGCTCTCTTACATGGCCACAGCTACACCGCTCATGCGGTCGGATGCCAGGTTGCTGTTGAGTCTCTTCATGAGTTGCAACGGATGGACAAGCAGGGGGAGTGGGACTGGGCGAAGAAGAGCGAATGGGGTGCCGACTCGGCTGCCGTCACCAGCTCCAAGGATGAAGCAACAGCCGCTGTTTGGTCTGTGTGGTCTCAGCCGTTTGTTAACTGGGTCTCCAAGCAGACTGGTCGTGTTGCGGGTGTGTGGGCTTTGGGATCTGTTCTTGCTATTCATCTGGAAGACAGCGAGGGAGCTGGCTACTCCAGCAATGTAGCCGTGGACCTTCAAAGCGCCCTTCTGAAGGGCGATATCGGCTCTGAGGGTGAGCGATGGAACGTTCACAGTCGGGTGCTGGGTAACGTTCTCTACGTTATGACCAGTCAAACAACAAAACAGGCAGATGTGTGCAGACTAGAGACCCTTCTGAAGAGGGCTCTTTCTTAGGAGAAAGTCAAATACCTCGCAAGTCATATTTAGTAGAGAAAGATTAATCAAATCTGTCTCAATATTTTTTTCGTGAATGCGTGCACCGTAAGTACAATTCCAATCCTACCACAAACATCTTTCTTCCCATTTAATTTTCCTTCTTCGCAGTTTGCCGCCTGGAGGCGCACCTTGTTGACTGCCGTATGATACCACAGACATCGAGCATGTTCCACAGAAGTTTAGTGATATTCAGAGATTAGACCGTAAAACAGTTTTGGCACAAACTCGTTTCTCTGAAGAGTGCTCAAATGTTAAGTTATTTAACTTGAAAAGTCGATGGAAGACTACATTCCCATTATATACACACGTGACAAGTCAAATTGTACTGACACGATTCGCCTGGCCATGTTGTGTCGATGCAATTTGCATGCTGGAATCGATATTTTCCTGTAGGGTCGGACCCAGAGGCATTATTTCCCAGATTGGATGTGGCCCGGTTGTTTCTGTCATCTGAGCTGGTCTGTATTCTTCATAAGGCTTCGGCTGGGTTAAACCCTCAACGGTTGAGTCCGGAGAGCTTCTTCTCCTCCTTCTGAATGGCCAACAAGCGCAGTATCTAATCAAAGTTAGCTACAACTTCCGAAAGCACTTCATCTTAGAGAACCATGTTGACTAACGCAACAATCATGGGAACACTGAGACTTACACAATGCTTGAAAGAAACATGAAAGCAACACTTGCACAGCCGGCACTGACTCCAATACGTTGCTCATCCGAGAGATCTCTTAACTGTCAGCCATAAGCTCACTTGATGCACAAGAGGAAGATGATATTCACCTTGCATCATGGCGCTCCCTGGGGGTGGTTTGCTCGACGGTGGCCCTGGCTCCGAAGTTGCAGTTGAAGTTTCTGTCCTCGTCGTATCTATCGTGGTTGGGAAAGAAGTCACCGTTGCTGTCTCCGTAAAAGCGAAGGAGTCTGTGTGGGTCGGCAGTTCTGAAGAATCTGTAGGAGCCTCTGTGGGAAAAGTAAACCCATCGTCTGTCGTGCTGGGAAGCACTTCGGTTGATGTTCCCGGCAATTTACCGGAGCACAAGAGCGCAGTCACATAATTAGACGTGGAGGCCGTCCATGAGATCGGATTACACCAGGGTGTGTTTCCTGAACTACTGAATGTCAATCTTGAGGTCAACTTTGATACTATTTCCAAAACAAAACGTACCATGACAAAGTTCCTAATGGCATTGAGCTGAATCCGGCTGGACGCGGCACCCCGGCCCCGTTTAAGCACATTTTATTGACGACACATTTTGATTTCGTCGATGCCTCACAGCACCCCACGAATCCCCGGTCGGTAGTACAAATGTGATTGACAGGACAAGTAAAGCTTGGTCCGCAGGTACGTTGGCCCTGATTTTGTCGTTCGAGCACAGATTGGGCCACGACCGGAGGCGGGGTGACAGCAGATTTTGGGTACTCTCCCTCAAAAGTGACAGTGGCGGGGATCCGGGCAGCACATTTTGCAGTGTCTGCAAAAGTGCCAATCAGAAATACAACAACGAATATCGAATTGCAAAGATACATTATGCTATCTCTCAAAGTCTTGGGTAAGGGACGTCACACGAACTCGGCTGTGGGTGAAGGCGATGGAGTTATTATGAAAACTTGGAGAATCCCGAAGAAAGGGCGGTCACTCTAATAAGCTACGATCGAAGCAGCCAAAACTCAATTCTAGTAGTTATGCCAATTAATTAGCAAATTGACTTCTTTTTACCCTATTCGGTAGCCTCATCAGCGCCGAAACGTCGTTAGGAACGGTGGCTGCGAAACGCACTTTAGTGAATCTGCCTCACGAGTATGTTTTCGTCGATGAGCCTGAATCAGGACCATTTCATTGGATAAGGAGTCTTGGATGCCTTACAGAAAGCCAGTGGCTTTTGCGACAGTCAGACATCCACATTGTAGTATGTCTTACGCCTGAAGCCCTGAAATAAGGGATTGCAGAGACGAATTCTCTTTTGAGGCTCAAAAGTCCTCTTCCACTCACTTGATTCCCATGTTCTATGAGACTTTGTTTTTACCGGTTTTCGTGATCGTTTATTCCCAATGGCCGACAAAGTATCGTGCAGCGAGCTTCAAGTTCTGAAGGAGTTTGACAAATACATCATTGCTGTGGAAAAGGAAACCAATTTCACAGATGAATTTCTTTCCTCTTGCAAGAAGGATATTTGTGGTGCGATATGGGGGGACACCAATCCAGATATATCAGGAATAGGTGTATGTTGACTTTGAGCTCCTTCACAGACAACGACAATATCTAATTCTCATCTTGACAGGTTTCTATAGGATACGCAGTCGAACTTGCTCTGGGATTCTCCTTAGCTGTTGCTGTCTTGCTGATCCGACAGAGGCAGGGTCGAAAGTGGGAGTTTTTCCAGATCGTTACCAAGAAAGGTCTAGAAGCCTTCTTCGAGTTCGCGGTCTACTTCGCCATTGCCGTGGAGCTTGCAACAACTGTTATGCTTGTCAACAAAGACTTTGGCATCAACACCGCCGGCTTTGGGGCCAATGAAGCACAGAACGCGTTGGCCATCGCCATCATATGCGCAATTCCGCTCGTGTATCCAATTGCACTTCTGCCCACAAGGATGTTCCACCCAGAGAGTGGAAGACAGAAAGCTATTGAAAGGAAGTCAGAGCAAGAAGATAAGAAGCACAAGTTTCGGCTGTTGCTTTTCTGTCTAGTCATCGTCCTGTTTTTCTATCCGTTTCTTTCACAATGTATCCACAACTGGGGGCCTTTGCGGGTTGGCGAAGGAGCTGGCAAAAACGGTTCAACGTTGATTAAGCACGATGACTGGGCTCGGATCCAGCAAATGTGTTTTGGACACGTCGGAAGATTGACAGACGCGGAGTACTGGCTGCTTGCCATTTGCGAAATCATCGCCTCGCTCTTAATCCTCCTCTTCACGCTGTGGCACGCGATGGGAGTCGGTTTACAACGTTGGAAGGACGAAGAAAAGTTCCAAGGGAAAGAGGGGAAAGGCACCGTCATGTTGTCGAGAACACGTAATGTGCTTCAAAGGGGTTGGCATGGCCACCGCATTATGCTTCTGTTCTTGCCAGTCGTGTTGGGAGGAGTCCTACTTTGGTGTATCTTTCGGCTACGGAATATTCAAGAAGCGGCCGCCTTTAGGTTGAAGATCGATTATTCCGGCAATGACTGGGGATTCGGGCAGATTGTTGGTATCATTATCTTCGCTCCCGTTGTGGCTGACATGGGGTTCGCTGCCTGGACGTCGTGGTCTTTACTGGGCAGGGATGAGTACGATACTGTTAGTAGCCAAGGCAGTATTTAGATCTGTCTGGCGTAATGCCTGTTATTTTCTGTGGCAAGAGGTTCATTATCCCGGTGTTTCTGAGTGCGTTTCTGAGCATCGCTTGCCAGCAATCATCACATGAGACTGGATTCATCTGCCGCAATACATGCCCGTGGCTGGTGAGACTATCCCACGCTTCGACGTGTGACTTTCACAGCGGCCGTCGGTCAGCGATGCAGTAGTCTGGCATCACTAAGACGCCGGACATGATTTGCAAAGGATTTGAAAGGTTCTCCGGGTCTTGCAGATCTGATGCGCGACATGAAGCAATCGACGCAGCGGCATAAATCCGCGACAGGTCTCTGTCGCCTCGGAAAATCAGCGCGCTGAGGCCCAAGCTGTGTGACCCGGAGCGTCTGGTTAGAGTCGACGTGTCGTGCGGATTTAGTGCTGACCTTGCGTGCAATTCCCGGCGGCCTCGCAGGATGGAAGCGAGAGCGGGAAGGGTGGTGCTTGCATAGATCACGTACAGAGCCTGAGTGACCCTTCAGGATTAAACAGTGAGTGAAACTCTCCAATCATCTCAACTTGCCGAGGCGAAGACAACTTGGATGTGTGATTATCTATCCTCGAGAACTATACCGAGCTTCAATCTCCAGATGGATGCAGGCTGCCATGAACAGACGGAGTTAACAATGGTTTGCAGATGAGAACAGGGTTCCGACCGAAGGTTACCGATCATGCAGTGACTGAATCATCCCAGCGACGGATCATCTTCCAGGCTGTGGAACAGGGATCATCAGCGCTACAGACGGCCCTAAGCATACAAAATCCAAAGTCCGTGTCCGTGGGCAGTCGAGTCTTTTTCAAGTTCACGACAAGATCAGATCCAAAGACGAATTGGAAGTAATTCAAAAAGAGCCGGTGGTTGGAAGAAAAGCTTTGATCAAGTCTTCAAATGAAGCAAGAGATGTGGCGGATGAGGTCATGTTCGCTGACGTATGCAGCCCCAGCTCGGCCAACTCTGATGATCCTCCACAGCGACGAGAAAAGCGCGAAGCTCCGTGATGAGTGGCTAAGGCACCGTCGGCCGCTGTAACCCCAGGCTTGGCCAGGTACAGGGAGATCTGCAATCTAATCTGTTCCCGTGCGCGCCGCAAAAATGCCGGCCGCCTCCCGCTTACCGCCCTATCTTGATGCTTAGCTTTGCTTGGCTATGTGGCTGTCTGCACACTGCTGCAGTGGGATGGATGCGGGATGCCACCCTGAACTTACTGTTCCCTTCTCTGTCATGTCTGTTTTTCTGTCACTTTGTCACTCTGTCACTCACTCCATCTTCGTTGCCGTCCAGCCGTATCTCTTTCCGCTCCCCCCTGGCCATCTCATCTGCAAATGCTTCTATTCTCCAGTCTGCTGCAGTCCCCCTTGCCACTCAATCAGAGACCGTCACTCGGGAAACAGTGGAGATGCCTAGGCAAAAAGCCGTTCAGCTGTTCCCACATTTTGGCCCTGTTTCTCTCCGAGGCGTCCGAGAGAAGAGCGGATATCACGGCCCGTCCTAGCATCAAAGCTTGACCTCTCGATCGACCCCACACAGCGTTCGCGCCTGCAGCGCCGCCCACGTCTGTGTGAGCACGCACATCTCGTCGCACGGAGAGTCCGTCTTGCCAGGGGTTTCCCTCGTGTCCAAGCTGTCTCCTACTCTCTGTCTGGCGTTCCTCGTTCCCCCCACAGAAGTCGAGCTCCATCTGTGAGGAGCCGTAGACGAGTACCGAGAGTGGCCCTCTTGCGGTTTCGCAATCGCACCTGCTCATAGAACAAATGGAGCCCGGGCAGGCCCTGTTTTGACGGCCGAATTCCGTCCTACCTCCATAATTCGCCTCCACTCTGTCCGTCAGAGACCGCCCGCCCTCCCTTCAGATATCCCCCTTGGTGGATAAGCACTTCGCGGCTCGCCCCTACGCCACGACCGATCCTTCTTTCTTCTAGACTGAAGGCCGGTCGGTAGGCTTCACTTACAATGAACTCCAGACAAGCCTCCCTCCTTCGCTCGCTCCCCACATCGGCCCCGGCGCACCGTTCAGCGCCGACCGGCCGATGGCGGTCCGGGAGGGGCATTCGATGTTTTGTCGTTGCAGGGCGGTGGGAACTGCTGGCCATGTGGGCATGACGTCGTCGTCTCATGTCTTCGCCGAGTTACTTCCTAATGGGCGGACTTTGTAGGCCAGGAAAAAATGCCGCTGTGGTTCTGGACCTCACGGCCATGGCGAATCGTAGTCGTGAGGAGAGAGTTTACTCTGAATGTATAAAGCCTCTTGCTCGGCCGCTCTTGTCATCAATATTGGAAGCAGCTCATCTTACTCACGCATAGTTTTCATCATTGAGTTATCATCACGTTTACACATATACCCCTATTTGAATCACTACTTAGTATCATTGATTTCATCACTACATCAACAACCCAGTACCAGTATACCAACAACAGCATGGCCACGACTCAGTACGGAAAGCGCTTGATCCCTCAGGTGCTCGACGAGATCGCCAAGTCCGACCCTCACGCCGAAGTCCTCTCAGTTCCCCGCTCATCCAACCCCAAAGATGGATGGAAGAAGATCACCTATAAGCAGCTCGCCAACGCGGTGAACCGCATAGCTCACAGAATTATCGACAAGAGGGGCAAGCCTGAACCTGGAAGCTTCCCTACTCTCACCTACATCGGCCCCAGCGATGCCCGCTACATGATTGTCATGATTGCCTGTATCAAGGCTGGATACAAGGCGCTCCTGATCTCCCCCAGGAATTCGCATGAGGGCCAAATGAACCTTTTCGAGAAGACGGACTGCAACATCATCTGCTTCGACTCATCATTCAAGGATGTCATCCAGCCCCTTTTGGAAGAACGCCAGATGGACGCCATCATGGTGAGCTCTGCCGACGCCTGGCTCGACGAGACGGAAGTCCCCCACTTCCCTTACGATAAGACCTTTGAAGAGGCTAAGATGGACCCTGTGGTCGTTCTGCACACGAGTGGTAGCACCGGTCTCCCTAAGCCCATTGTCGCCCGCGTGGGCATGTGTGCAGTCGCCGATGCATTCCACGACCTCCCGGATTTCATGGGTTCCGAGAACTGCATCAAGTCCATTATGCTCGGCGAGCGCATCTTCCTGCCCATGCCCCTGTTCCACGCCGCCGGATGCTACATGTCCACCTTTGCCGCCATCTACTGGAAGCACCCTGTCGCCTTGGGCTTCATCGACCGCCCTCTTACACCTCAGACCGTCTTGGACGCTGTCGAATACGCCAAGATCGACAACATCATCTTGCCTCCTGCCATCCTTGAGGAGATGGCTCACATGCCCGAGGGTATCGAGGCTCTCAAGAAGCTCAAGCGCGTGAACTTTGGCGGTGGCAACCTCGCACGCGAGGCCGGCAACATTCTCACCAAGGCCGGCGTTAAGGTCTGCAGTGTCATTGCCTTCACTGAGGCCGCTCCCCTCCCGTACTTTTTCCAGAAGAACTTGGATCTCTGGCAATGGTTCATTGTCGACTCTGAGCGTCTGGGCGTTGAATGGCGCCAGGCCAGCGGTGAGGACGAGGATATTTACGAGCAGGTTATCGTTCGTAAGGAGAAGGAGGATCCTCTCCAGGGTATTTTCTACACCTTCCCTGACGCCAAGGAGTACTCCACCAAGGACCTTTACCGCAAGCACCCTACCCTCCCCAACCACTGGATGTACTACGGCCGTGCCGACAACATCATCGTCTTCTCCAACGGTGAGAAGCTGAACCCTGTCACTATCGAGGAGATTGTTACTGGCCACCCAAGGGTCAAGGGTGCCGTTGTTGCCGGAGCTATGCGCTTCCAGCCACTGCTCATTATCGAGCCCATGGAGGACCTCAAGACGGAAGAGGAGAAGGAGAAGTTCATCGACGATGTCTGGCCCCTGGTTGTAAAGGCGAATAAGGAAACTGTTGCCCATGGCCAGATCGGCCGCCAGTTCATCGCCGTCACCACCCCCGATAAGCCATTCCCTCGCGCCGGAAAGGGCACCATCCAGCGTCCCATGGCTCTGAAGCTGTACAAGGAGGAGCTTGACGAGTGGTACCAGAAGGCTGAGGACGGCTCCGACTCCGTTTCCGTCCACATCGATGTCAGCTCCCAGCAGACCCTCATCGACTCCATCGAGAAGCTCTTCCAGCAGACTCTTGGCAGCAGAGCGCTCTCCGCCGACTCCGACTTCTTCAGTGCCGGTATCGACTCTATGCAGGTCATCAACGCCTCCCGTCTCCTCCGCAAAGGTCTTGAGGCTGCCGGCGCCAACATTACCGCCGACGCCATCGCTACCCGTGTTATCTACGCCCACCCGACGCCCAGACAGCTGGCTTCTTACCTCTTGGACCGTGTCAGGAAGAACACGGGTGCTAACGGCGAGGATGACTCTGAAGGTCCCAACCATGACATCGCCGCCATGGAGGCTCAGCTTCAGAAGTACACCCGCGACCTGCCCCAGAAGCAGGGCGACAAGCCCGGCCCCAACGACCAGGGCCAGACCATCCTCATCACCGGTACCACGGGTGCTCTCGGCTCTTACATGCTCGACTTCATGGAGTCCAACCCTGCCGTCAAGAAGGTCGTCTGCCTTAACCGTAGCGAGGACAGCGACAAGCGCCAGGTCAAGATGAGCGCCGAGCGAGGCCTTAAGACAGACTTCAAGAAGGCCGAGTTCCTTTGCGCCGACATGTCCAAGAGCAACCTTGGCCTTGAGCCCGAGGTCTACGACAGGCTGCTCAAGGAGGCTGACCGCGTCATCCACAACGCCTGGCCCGTCAACTTCAACATCTCTGTCGAGACCTTTGAGCCTCACATCCGCGGTGTCCGCCACTGGGTCGACTTCTCCCTGCGCGCCGCGAAGAACGTTCCCATCATCTTCATCAGCAGTATCGGTACCGTCGACTCCTGGCCTGGACCTGGCCCCGTCCCTGAGAACAGGCTCATGGACCTGTCTCTTCCCAGCACTGGCTACGGACGCTCCAAGATGGTCAGCTCCCTCATTCTCGACGAGGCTACTCAGCGCTCCGGTGTTCCCACTGCCATCGTCCGTGTTGGCCAGGTCGCCGGTCCTCAGTCCAAGTCTGGTGTCTGGAACCGCCAGGAGTGGCTGCCAACCATCGTCGCCAGCTCCGCCTACCTCGGTCTCCTGCCTAAGGATCTTGGCGCCATGGGCCTGGTGAACTGGACTCCCATCGAGGGCATTGCCAGCCTCATCCTCGAGGTCACCGGTATCGCTGAGCCTGTTCCCCTGCAGAACATCAGGGGCTACTTCCACGGTGTCAACCCGCGCACCGTCGAGTGGGAGAAGCTCGCCGAGGCGGTCAAGTCGTTCTACGGCGATCGCATTAAGAAGGTCGTCTCCTTCAAGGAATGGGTCAAGGCTCTGGAGGAGAGTGCTTCTTCCACCGACGACGTCGATAAGAACCCTGGTGTCAAGCTTCTTGACTTCTACCAGGGTCTGGCTTACAGCGGAGGAAAGGGTGTCGACTTCTCCATGGAGCGCACTGTGAAGCACAGCAAGGCGATGAAGGAGATGCAGGCCGTCACGCCTGAGCTGATGCAGAACTGGTGCAGACAGTGGGGTTTCTAATTTCGCATGAGGACTGGGCCGGAGTCTGGATATAGATTGTAATGTATAGTGATTTGAGCGAGTTCTGAAAAGTATAGCTGAATTGAAATTCAATCTTCAAAAAAATCTTATCCCGAAAAAGCTGTACACTGTTACGATATCTAAGCATGCAGTGTGACGTGACAGGCTGCTTTCCCTCTACTGGCTACCTACGGTACATAAACCGTATCGGTCATGTGGCTGTACTACACAGTAAGCGGAGATTCACTCAACAACACTTTTTGAACCACAACAAGCTCACAATACTCCCAGGGCACGATTGATCCGTCGTTCTCCTCAGATTCCCTCCGGCACGTTCACCTCGTGCTTCCCCATTGAGACATGGAGGTCTCGACAGAATATGGCTATCGATATCGAGCACTATCGGCTGCCGACTCAGTCCGCCTGCTCACAATCTCCAGAGCAGATGATCAGCCTCATGGTATGCTTCTCTCACTAAAGGAGGCACATCTGGATGACCAACCAAATTTTGCGGCATTGTCGTACACCTGGAAGCTTCCTGAATATGTCAATCGGGGTAACTTGGAAGACCAAGAGTGCGGGGTAACAATCGAAGTCATCTGCGACGGGAAGGCGATGGCCATCTCGGAGAACTTGTTCAACTTCCTTTGCGCCGCGTTGCACGCCTCCGAAACAGATGACGGGGCATCAGACACCAAGACAAAGTTGGCGTCCAAAGTCAGTGGCATCTTGAAGGATCTACCATTATGGATAGATGCCTTCTGCATCAATCAGAGTGATTCTGAAGAGAAGCGGCATCAGGTTCTCCTCATGCACAGGATATATAGCGCCGCGAGGAACGTTATTATCTGGCTAGGGCCTTCGCGACCACACCCAGATGTTCTATGGGTTCACGACAAGTTCATCCCAGCCATCTCCAAGGCCACACGAATGAAGCCCGAATTTGTGGAAAGGTATCTGAAGAAGGATGCCGTGTGCAGCTCCGTGGAAGTAATGGAGGAATTTGGCCCGGAGTTGTGCACTCGCTGGCTCTCGGCATGGCTCCAATTCGTCATCTACATCGACCGCCAATGCTGGTTTGATCGTGGCTGGATTGTCCAAGAGGTTGCACTCTCGGATCCCTCCAATGTTTACGTATGTTGCGGAGGATCTGTTCTCAGTTGGAAACGGCTCGCTGCCTTTTCCCAGTTTCTTCAGGAGACTGGGTGGTGTTCTACTCTTATGGAGAGAATCGAGAAGATCGCCGCTACAGGGGGTCTTCAAAGCCTTGAACACAAGAAAATTGCATACCCTGCGCAAGTTAATACGAGAATACTCAAAATCAGCCAAGCTCGGACGTCGCTCGCTGGAGTTGCCCAGCAGACGGGGCTTCTCGTGGATGCCAGGTCTGCCTGGAACGGAAAGCTGGAACTCGGGTGGCTCAACTGTGCCAATTTCTTGATCAACTCGCTTCGCTCCTCGAAATTTAGCGATGACCGCGATCATATCTATGGATGCTTGGGTATGCTGTCCATGCTCTTGCCGCAAGGCTGCGAAAGCCCCATTGTCCCCGACTACGAAAGCACGGTCGAAGAGGTTTTTACTGCCGCTGCAGGTCTCTTCCTGTCGAAGACCTCGTTGCTAACAGAACTGTCACGGATCGGAAAACGATCTTCGCGGCGATACCCCAAGCTGCCGTCCTGGGTACCTGACTACTCTATTGAGAAGGGTTCCCGCCTGGTGGCAAACTGGAACTTCCCCATCAACCGATACTTGGACTTGACGATTCCTGAGCTACAAGACATTGAGATACAGATATGGGGATCTGATTTGAGACGACCGAAGCTGATAGGATCTGTCCTTTATGTTCATGGGTTTCTGTTGGACACCGTACTGGAGGAAAGTGCTGACAGGCCTTTCGGGTGGGAGTCTCGAGGCATCCAAGCTTTGATGGTGAAATCTGGACCAAATGCAGAGGACTTCACCGGTTTCTGGAAGACGCTAGCATTCATTCATGCGAACACCAAGTTGGAGAATGAAACATCGTTTGCTAGCGTGATGGAGGAAATTTCTGCTAACCGGTGGAAAACCTTGACACAAGGACCAAATCAGCAGTTGAAGGAATCATCAGCATCTGCAATGCTTCAACCGCAAAATGCTGTGCGAGTAGAGTTGGTAGATAGGGAGATTTATTCTACGGAAGGGCATGAGCTTGGGCTAGGGCCTCCTGAGGTACGAGAGGCAGATGAGGTATGGCTGTTGGAAGGTGCTCGTACTCCATGCATCTTACGCAGAGTCGAATCCACCTTTGATGATAAGTCACGCAAGGAAGACGACCCCGGAAGATACGAGTTTATCGGGGAGACTGACCTACGCGGCTTCAATGTTCGGTCTACAGATCTCACTTCTAAGGCGAGTAGGGGCTTTTACGAGATAATCAGTCTCGTGTGAGGAAATCAGCAAAATGGGGGCTCCACATACGCAATTACTTTCTTGGGTGGGAAATGTTCATTAATGCAATTAAGATACAACATCTTCACGTTGAATCGTGGTTCAAACGTGCAAAAGGTTGCGCCGAGGGGGAATCGAACCCCCGGCTCCCCGACGCTGCTGGGTGGCAACGGAGAATTTTACCACTAAACCATCGGCGCGCTTCATATCAGAATTCCTAAATTGAGAATACTTGGATGATTGCTTGCCTGGGGCTCTCGATGAAGGTGATTTTCTGCGAGTACTATGAGCTCGCTCATATCCCTGAGTAGATGTTCTTGACCGCGAGAAATCCACATCTGCGGGTTCGACTCCGGTAGTGTCCTAAAGCTTGCCACCAACGCCGGTGACTAAAACGTCACTGCGACCGCCAGCAAAGAAATTCCACAGGTTGTCTCCTTTCTCCAGAATCAGCAGCCTGTACCCATGGTAACCGGTCCTTCGCGCCGAGCTTCGTCGAGTCCCTCTTGGCCTTCTTGTCCAAAAGCTAAAACGCCTCCGCCAAACTGTGGCCCCTCCTCCAGGCACGAGATATGATTATGATTTTCGCTATTAAGTCCAAGAGATCGTTCAATACTTTCATAAAACCCAATGGGAAGTACAGCGCGATGAATAGCCAGGCTAGACCCGGTGGCGGCGCTAGAAGCCATAAAAGAACGGCGAGCTGTGGAAGAGGTGGGCTCGTTATGGGGCACGCCGACAGTGTCTCACAAGGATACTCTGCCGATGGATTGTGGTTCATGACCTTTTCGTCAGGGAGAAAGTCCATGATGGACGGAGATTGCCGTTGTCGTGCGAGCGCACTGAATGTGAGTGAGAAATGGTGTTGAGTGACGACCCAGTCGAGCTGTCCTTGAATGTGGCTGCGATAGAAGGCAATAAGTATGGTCATCTTGGTTATGTATCCATCTGGGCAGCGGCGCAGCGGCGCAGCAGCCAAGCGACACAAGCTGTCATTGCTTCTGAGCGCAAAGCCGATTTGCCGGGAAGCTTGGCTCTGAACTCCATTGGCCTGGTTTACGAAAGAAAGCCTGTTACTTTGAATCTCATAGCCCAGTTAGAATGAGAGGGTTCTTGTCGTAAGAAACCCTTTTAATAATATTGTCCATCTCTCTTGGGGGGACCAAGATGACGTGTTTCCAATCAGTCCATAGAACCCAAGTTGTGGTTGACATGGTGCCACTCAGAGACAGGTGCCTGCCCTCCTCATAATCTTAATGAGGGTTACTGAGGGAGATGGCCGAATGACATCGCAAGTCCCAGACCAGCCTATATCGCTTGAGATCACAAAGGACAAGCGGAATGGCGACAAAGGGATCCTTCTTCAGTGTCAATAGTTATTGTGGCGGTATGCACATGTGCCTCCCTTTGAACTAGAAAAGCAACCGCAATGCATCTCCAATTTGCAACTCCGGCCCAAAATACCCGAAAGAGCCCCCCTTTCTACAAAGTCCACGAGACTGTTTGTGAAATAGAGCCGATGTCTTCGCTATCTTCTCTGAATCGGTCTAAGGAAAGTGTCGCAATGGCTCATGCCGTGTTGCCCTCCGCGCACCGTCTCGTCCATGTCATCGTAGCGTCCCTATTTCGATCGCGCCGTCTATTTGGGAACAGCGTACTTGGTGGTCCACTCCTTGGCCGTCGCGATGGCAGCCTGCTCATCCTCCTTCCAGCTCTTGGCAACATCAGCAGCAAGCGGGTCGTCGGGGTTCGGGGCACCCAGGAGGGCCTGGATGGAGAGGAGGATGGTACGGATCTGGAGGGCGGGGGACCAGTTGTCTGTAAGGGAAGCTCTTTGTTAGCTCAAGCGCACCAGCCAAAGTTCATTCTGCAGACCACTCACTCTTCAGGACATCGAGGCAGATACGGCCGAGCTTGTCGACATTGGGGTGGAAGATCTTGGTGAGGAATCGGATCTTGGGGGGGGTCATGGGGTAGTCGTCAGGCAGGAAGAGCTCCAGCTTGAAGACACCACCTGCAGTCTCGTCAGTCCACCAATACTAGCGCAATATAACAAGTGTGTTCGAACCCTCGTATGGCGATTGTGAAGGACCGTGGATCTCGACGTCGAAGTAGCGAAGGTTGTCCTCGTGGGGAACGGCGCTGATGCCCGGAACGCTACGCAGATGGCCTTCGTCAGTATTTCGTCGCAAGACTTGGGCTGCTGTGAGGACCCTTACGGCTCGGCCATGAGACGCTCGGTCTCTTTGACAATACGCTTGGGCAAAGCCATGTTGGGCGACGAGGAAAGTGGAATTTGCGGGTTGTTTGAAAGAGGTAACGAGGAAGGCGATTCGAAGATGCTCTGTGCCGGTCCCCAGTGGTGGATGTGAATGGCGGTATTTGGCGGGGCCAAGTGGGTTGGTGATTCACAAAGGGAGGCGCCTTCCGGATCGGAGACGTCAAATCGAAGTCGCGTGTACCGGGAGAGGGAAACCGCAAAAGGCAATGGTAGTCGGATGCTCGGGAAGCCTTAATGGAGTGACAGGCGGCGAGAAATCGGCTCTAGTGTTTCGAACACAAGGCAGGCAAGATGTGTAAGGCGGGCATGTGCTTGGGAAAGCCTGCTCAGCAGAACTGCCCCGCGGGAGGGACAAGCATGACATGGGCGGCCTGGGAACTTGACGCCCGATAACAGAGTGGAGATATGCGCCGGTTTGGGAGTGCTTTGATTGGCTCGATGACCTTCTGGGAGGAATGTACATTGCTGCGAGGTTTCTATGGAAGAGTACAAGACTATCAAAGTGGGCCGCAGCTGTCGTCCGTCCAGCCACGAGTGACGGTTCAGGTCAGGACGCTCAGCTGCAGCTGCATCGATCCTGTCGCGTGCATCGAATTGCGAGCCTCATCAAATACCTGCGATACCATCCTGCATATCGCCTAGGGCATCGGGAAACCAACAGTTCTTTGCTCGGAAACACTCAAGTCGCTCATAAACGCCCCTTTTCGCGAACGGTCGACGTATCATGGCCAGCATATCTCACTTTCAGACGCCCTCATGAGGCATCTCTCATCTAAGCTACCACTACGACCATGCCGCACTTCGACCAGCTTGACCCTCCAAAGAAGGGCAAACCTATCAGATCAGCTTTCGACAGCGAGAGCTTCGACTCTGATGGAACCATCCATGTCGCCGGACTCGTGGGATCAGCGACGATTGCACCTTCGGGCAGGGATGTCGCCTTAGCATCGTGAGTGATCTGAGTTGAGATGCGACTGAGCCGACGTTCCCCTGCTGACTTATCTCCAGACCTGAAGGCTTGTCCATCATCGATCTTGACTCACCGTACAATCCCCCTCGCCGCCTCAGCAGCCACGGCTCACCATGGCTCGTTACCGACGTTCAATGGTCACCCTTCGCCGCTCGCGACTACTGGGTCGTCTCGACAGCTAACCATCGCGCTCTCGTATGGAACCTCAACTTGAGGGACGACTCGGCATCCGGCGCCATCGAGCACTCTCTCCAGGGCCACAGCAGAGCCATCACCGACATCAACTGGTCGGCGCACCACCCAGACCAGCTCGCGTCGTGCGCTGTCGACGGTTACGTACACTGTTGGGATCTAAGACGCCCAAGACAACCTGTACTCACATTTTGCGATTGGTTCGCCGGCGCCACCCAAGTCAAGTACAACCGCCAGGACCCGCACATCCTGGCATCGTCCCACGATAGGTGGTTGCACATCTGGGATGAGCGACGCGCCTGCGAACCCCTGAAATCTATCAGCGCACACACATCAAAGATTTACGGCATCGACTGGAACCGAACCCGATCCACGGGAATCGTAACCTGCTCCTTGGATAAGCACATCAAGTTTTGGGACTATGGCAGCGATCAGGATGTTCCGGAACGCGTCATTCGTACCGAGTTCCCGGTGTGGCGTGCTCGTCATACCCCGTTTGGCCGGGGCCTCCTAGCTATGCCGCAGAATGAACCAGGCGATCTGCATTTGTACGACAGCCAAGCGTCCCCGAACGAACCCAAGGAGGGTCCAACAGGCCCTCTCGCCATCTTCCAGGGACACGGCAACCACAAGGTTAAGGAGTTCTTGTGGAGGAGCAGAGGCAGCATCGATGAGGACGGTTTGGATAATAGAGAATTTCAGTTGGTCTCGTGGGGAGAAGACAATGAGCTGCGTCTACAGCATGTCGAGCCGTCAATTCTCGAGTCGGTGGGCTACCTCAAGGGGCAGCCGGCTAGTAAGAATCTCGTGCTGACACGTAAGGGCGCCTCCTACAAAACGTTCCGAACGGTGGAGGACAGCGTGAGCCGAGACAGGAGGAGTGCGACGATGAGCGATCCCCGCACCGGTTCGCGCCAGAGCGCCTTAACTATGGGTATGCGCTCAGGGCCAACCACCTACACCAGACTGGGAGCTGCTTGGAAAGGTTCGTCCATGAAAGCTAAGAGCAACTCTAAAGAGATGGACCGCAGCCAGGCGCATATAGGATGGATGAAGGGCATCATGATGAACAAGAGAAAAGCTTCAACCGACAGCCCGCGGAGAGCAGACTCGAAAGACTCGACCATGTTCAGCCCGGGATATATGGACGACGATAAATGGGCCGATCCAGAGACCATCCAAGATGAGTTTCTGCGCATCAGCACGCAACTGCCAAAGGTGAAGTGGGATAAAATCGATATGGACTCGCTGACTCTGCACGCCTCGCTGAACGGCCCATGGGGGAAAAACGGAGACACCATCTTTATCAAGGTTAGGGTCGATATCCCTTCCAATTACCCGAAGTACAAAGCCCCTCGCTTCTATGTCGAGAAGACGAGCTTCATGCCGGAGAGAACACACAGGAAGGTCGAGCATGAGCTCCACGAGCTTTGCCATCAATTCTTGGAGCAGAAGCAAAACTGCTTAGATGTGGCCTTCTCCTACCTTTTGGGCGAGATTGACCTCGCAGCCAGCACCAACTTCTTCAAGAACGTCAAAGACCTAGACGATCCGTTG